TCCTAAATCTTCCACAGCTCCTCACTACTGGATAATATTTAGTATTCTTGAATTAATAATTTGGGAACCAGTCTGTCTTAGACTATTTTTCAAATAATTTTTTTTCCTCCACACTCTCCCATGTACCTAATTTTGCAACAAAGATACCTGTCCTCAGAATGCTTTCAAGGTTGAGTTAGAAATCAACAATGCTAGGAATCCTGTATTGTTTCCCACTCCCAACTCCAACCTCCCATTTTTATTGCTAAATAGATCTCCCAATTAAAACTAAATTTTTATTTTCCTTTCATTTAATTTAGTAATTTATCCATGGATGTGACTAATATTTAATAAAATGTAAATATTAATTGAGTAAATTAATATAATCACATTAATTAACATATTAATTAAATTAATCCACTTACTTATATAATGTATTTAAATTTAACAAGAAGATATTATATTATCTTCCTGCTAAATTTTATTGTCAGAGAAATAGGTATTTGCACTTCCTTACTTTAAGAGAAAACCAGGGTTCAGGGTTGGCAGCAAGTCCCCCTACGAATTAGGCATGCCCTCTAGTGGCAGATTCACCACACTACAGGCCTGGACTCATGCCACCCAATTCTGAAGTTTCGGCTGCAATTTTTTTCTAAAAGAATATGTCCAACAGGCATTTTTTCTGAGTATGATAGAGTATAAAAAAATTACATAATGTCACCTTTGTGTATGGCATTAAAAACTGAAAACCAGCAAACTTTGGAGTAATAAACAGATAAGTTTAAAGAAATAAAAGGACCTAAAGTTTTCATGTGTTAATATTTTGGACAGAAATAAGGACCTTTCTGAGGGAAATCTGACAGAAAGAAGGAGATTTTTGACAGAAAGGAGGTCTTTTCTGGGAAAGAAACTTGACAGAAAGAAGGTGTAGTTTGTACTTATCACCTCGATAAATTGGGGTAAAAATACTCAAAGTAACGATTTACACAGGTGGAAACATGACAATAAAAACAGTTCTGCTGTGTGTATGAGAAATAACACATAACAAGATTTTTATTTCAGCACGCACTCAATTCTAAAAAAAAGTACCATATTTTTCAAAGTTAGCATCCATTTTACCATTGATGCATATAAAGAGAATAGATATTTTTTAATCTTCAAAAATGGTATTTCTAGTTTCAAATTTACTTTAAATACCAGTATAGAGTGTATAGAGTGTATGTAAGACAGATACCAATCCATAACAGGTGCAAAATAACGTCTTTTCAGGAAATGTCAGAAAAAAAACTAAAAAACAAATAATATATACCATCCATTTTTATAAATCTACTAATTTTTTACATGTTTTTTCTAGAATTTTTTTTTGAAGGGGAGGAGAATTCAGATAGAAACTAGATAGAAAGGAGATTTCTGACAGAAAGTCTTTTCTGGGAAAGAATCCCGACAGGAAGAAGGCGATTTCTGACAGAAAGAACGTCTTTTTCTAGGGGAGAAACCTTACAGAAAGAGGGAGATTTCTGACAGATGACAGAAAGAAGGACGTTTCTGAGGGAAACCAAATGGAAAAAAGATTCCAGACAGAAACAAGGCTTTTTCTGGGAGATAAACCTGATAGAAAGAAGACTATTTCTGACAAAAAGGACATTTCTGAAGGAAATATGATGGAAAGAAGGAGAATTCTGACAGAAAGAATGTGTTTTGGAGGCAGCTAATACTGACAGAAAGATGGAGATTTCTGACAGAAAGAAGGCCCTTTTTGGGGGGAAGGAAACCTGGACAAAGAAGGCAATTTCCGACATGACAGAAAGAAAGACATTTCTGAGGGAAATGTGATGGAAAGAAGGAGATTTCCGACAGAAAGTTCTTTCCTGGGAGAGAAACCTGACAGAAAGAAGACAGTTTCTGACCGAAAGAAGGATGTTTCTAGGGAAACCTGATGGAAAGATGGAGATTTCTGACAGAAAGGGTGTTTCTGAGGGAAATCTAACAGAAAGGAGGTATCTGACAGAAAGAAGGTCTTTTCTCGAAGAGAATCCTGACAGAAAGAAGGCAATTTCTGACCAAAAAAAGGAGAATTCTGAGGAAACCCTGACACAAAGAAGGGGATTTCTAACAGAAAGGAGGTCTTTTCTCAGAGAGAAACCTGACAGAAAGAAGGCACTTTCTGACAAAAAAAGGACGATTCTGAGGGAATCTGACACAGAGAAGGGTATTTCTGACAGAAAGAAGGTCTTTTCTGGGAGAGAAACCTGACAGAAAAAAAGGCAATATCTGACAGAAAAAAAAAAGGATGTTTCTGAGGAAAACCTGATGGAAACATGGAGATTTCTGACAGAAAGAAGGTAATTTCTGACATGATAGGAAAAAAAGGAAGTTTCTGAGGGAAATCTGACACAAAGGAGGGTATTTCTAACAGAAAGAAGGTCTTTTCCGGGATATAAACCTGGCAGAAAGAAGGCACTTTCTGACAAAAGGATGTTTCTGAGGGAAACCTGATGGAAAGATGGAGATTTCTGACAGAAAGAAGGGTGTTTCTGAGGAAAAGCTAAGAGAAAGAAGGAGATATCAGACAGAAAGGTCTATTCTGGGAGAGAAATGTGACAGAAAGAAGGCAAATTCTGACAGAAAAACAAAGGACGATTCTGAGGGAAACCTGACATAAAGAAGGAGATTTCTGACAGAAAGAAGGTCTTGTCTTGGAAAGAAACCTGACAGAAAGGAGATTTCCGACTGCAAGAAGGATGTTTCTGAGGGAAACCTAACAGAAAGAAGGTGATATCAGACAGAAAGAAGGTCTATTCTGGGAGAGAAATGTGACAGAAAGAAGGCAATTTCTGACAGAAAAAAAAAAGGATGAGTCTGAGGGAAACCTGACACAAAGAAGGAGATTTCTGACAGAAAGAATGTGTTTTTGCGGGGGAGAAACCTGACCGAAAGAAGGGGACTTCTGACAGAAGGAAGAACGTTTCTGAGGGAAACCTGATGAAAAGGAGTTTTGTGACAGAAAGGTCTTTTCTGGGAGAGAATCCTGACAGAAATAAGGCAATTTCTGACAGAAAGAAAGACATTTTTGAGTGAAACCTAACACAAAGATTTCTAACAGAATATGTTTTGGGGAGAGAAACCTGACAGAAAGAAGCATGTTTCTGAGGTAAACATGATAGAAAGAAGGAGTTTTCTGACAGAAAGGTCTTTCCTGGGAGAGAAACCTGACAGAAAGAAGGAAATTTCTGACAAAAAGAAGGACATTTCTGAGGGAACATAATGGAAAGATGGAGATTTCTGACAGAAATAAGGGTGTTTCTGAGGGAAACCTAACAGAAGGAAGGAGATATCAAAAAGAAAGAAGGTCTTTTCTGGGAGACAAATAGGGGCAGAAAGAAGGCAATTTCTGACAGAAAAAAAAGGATGATTCTGAGGGAAACCTGACACAAATAAGGGGATTTCTGACAGAAAGATGGTCTTTTCTGGGACAGAAACTTGACAGAAAGAATTTCTAACAGAAAGAAGGATGTTTCTGAGGGAAAACTGACAGAAAGAAGGAGATTTCTGACAGAAAGAATGTGTTTTTTGAGGGGAGAAACCTGACAGAAAGAAGTGGACTTCTGACAGAAAGAAGAAAGTTTCTGAGGGAAACAAAATGAAAAGAAGTTTTCTGACAGAAAGGTCTTTTCTGGGAGAGAATCCTGACAGAAGGAAGGCGATTCTGACAGAAAGAATATTTCTGAGGGATACTGACAGAAAGAAGTTTTCTTCCAGAAAGATTTCTCCTGTAAGAGAAACCTGACAGAAAGAAGCTGATTTCTGACTGAGAGAGTGACTTCTCTGAGGAAAGCTGACTGAAAGAAGGAGATTTCTGACAGAAGGAGGGACTTTTCTGGTTGAAGTGAAAGTTGCTCAGTCGTGTCCAACTCTTTGCAACCCCATGGACTATACAGTCCGCGGAATTCTCCAGGCCAGAATACTAGAGTGGGTAGCCTTTCCCTTCTCCAGGGGATCTTCCCAACCCAGGTTGCCCACATTGCAGGCGGATTCTTTACCAGCTGAGTCACAAGGGAAGCCTAAAAATACTGGGGTGGGTAACCTATCCTTTCTCTGGCAGATCTTCCTGACCCAGGAATCAATCCAGGGTCTCCTGCATTGCAGGAGGATTCTTTACCAACTGAATATCAGGGAAACCCTTTCTGATTGAAACCTGATAGAAAGAAGAGATATGCCAGAAAGAAGGACTTTTCTTTGATGGAAATATGATAGAAAAAAAGGAGATTTCTGACAAAAAAAGGACTTCTCTGTGATAGAACCCTGATAGAAGAAAGATATCTATAAAAGTTATTTTATAGAAACCTGACAGAAAGAAGATCTCTTCTAGGGGAAACTGAGAGATAGATTTCTGACAGAAAGAAGGACTTTTCTTCAAGGGAAATCTGACAGAATGAAAGATTTCTGAGAGAAAGTAGGACTTTTCTAAGTAAATTCTGAGTGAGGTTTGTAGGAGGAAATTCTGAGTGAAGGAATTTTATACTTATTTCAGAGAGAGGTTTGGTGAAAGGAATCCTGCTTATAGGTTAGTATAAAGGAATTTTTACACCTTGAAATTGAAATTTAATTTTGAGAAAATGAGATTTGAGATATTATTGTGAAGAATGAGATTCCATGTAATTATGGGGGAAAGACTGAGAGTCAGGGAAATCTGAGAGATAGAAGGAGATTCCAAGGGAATTCTGAGAGTAAGGAGAGTCTGAGGGAATTCCAAGAGAAAGAAGAGAGTCTGCAGAATTCTGAGAGAAGAGTCAGAGGTAATTTTTAGAAGAATGATAACAGGAATTACTTTGAGAAGTTTGGTGAAAGGATATCTGAGTGAGGGAGGGTTTGATTTCATTATCCATGAGAAAGAGTATAAGGGAATTCTGAGAGAAGGAGAGTGAGATGGTATTCTGAGAATAATAGTCAGAGAATATTCTGAGAGAAATCTATATCTATTATATTTTTAAATATTCAGGAAAACGTATGTTATTACTTACAACTTTCCAGTTGCATTATACATGTTTGTACATCCATCGGAAAATTCTTGAGATCCATTGGACAGGAGAGTGTTAATGTCAACCTGAAAGAATTCGAAGTAATCATTTTACAAAGAAATTTATAATGTCATATTAATAGTCTATTGTTCAGAATACAATGGAAAACAATGCTGTTTTGGTTGTGGCTAACATCTACTCAAGAAAATTTGCTCCAGCTTGTATATATTATTTAGTGTGAAATAACTGTATCCTTCAAATAAATCTGGTTTTGGAGGGAAGAAAAGCTGTATATATAAACATCTAATCACAGTTTTTTTTTTTGTATATTTATGCTTTCCTTTAGATAGTGATGGAGATATCTAAGAGTGGTCTCTATTTCCAGAAAAGACCCTTTTAAAAAAGATATTTGACAGTAAGCTTTATAAAATTAATACCAAAGGCCAAAAGACACAGTTCCCCCAAATCGTAGAGACAATGTCATTGAGGCAAGTATTGGTTGGCCAAAAAGTTCATTTGGGTTTTTCCATACGATGTTACAGAAAAACCCAAATGAACTTTTTGGCCAACCTAATAGATCCAAGGTCTGGAATCTGGATGTGAAAAAGCTGGGTGCCAGAAAGTAATTTCATGTGACATCTTTTACTGTCTTTTTAACTACACTGAAGATCTTCTCAGTGAACATCCAGCGGAAAAAACTCTGGATCTAGAGGACTCCAAAATTCTCAGTACTAAGGCTTCCCTGTTGTGGAATTAGAGCATTTCACCACATTGTATTAGGTCCACAAAATAGCCCTCTCAAACATGTGTGACATATTCTGTGTTCACCAAACAAACTTTTATGTAACTTCACACAAAGTGAGACGACATGATGGTGAACCCTACTTTTTCTCATTTCAGAATGTATTATAATGTTGACTTTCCAGGTAATTCACTACTTGATTTTTTTTTCCCTTTAAAGAGTACATGACTTCAGGGATTACCTATCTTCATGGATTTCCAAGAATTTGTAGTTTCTGGATATGAGAAAAATAAACCCAGATCCAAATAAATCCATATTTATTCAAATGAGGTTCTTTTCTAAGAACTCTCTAGCCAGCCCCTTTTATTGAAAGCTTTCCCACTGAAATGCAGTGTATTAGTAGATATCCTAGGCTGAGTCATTCATCTAAACTCTGTGACCAAAAACTTTATGGTCTCCAATTATCTCATTTCACTCTATTTCAGTTTTCACATCTCCAAAAGGAAGGTAATAATAATACCTATTCTGGAGACAGGTTGTGAGCAATTAGTTAATCTGTGAAATGCTCAGTCAAGTGCTTGACACCTAGTAAACAATCAATGTTAGTTATTAATGATTATTAGCACATTCTCACTACCCCAGGCTTCCCCATTTCCTCCTTCCCCAAATTATACAGTATGAACACAAAGATGACAGAATTAAATCACTTATTTTAAAAAATTAAGTTTTAGCAAAAACTAGCCATCAGCTCTACTAAATGCAACCACATTCTCTGAAGTAACATTTTTATGTAGGCCATAGACATAAAGCTATAATGATGTACATCTGACAGTGAATACTCTTGGTGGGGACCCAGTGATGTCATTTGAGAGGGATAAGCTGACAGAGGTGAAGCTGCTGAATTTTTAAGAGTCCCAGGGGATCATCTGACAATTCATTCAAGTTAGAGTCCATAGCACACTAAAAGAATCCACAGAATTGATTCTTCAAACGCAAGTTTTCTCCTAACTCAGCTAGGTTAAGTGATCCTGCAAGTGTGATATTGTCCATCTGCAAAATTCTCTCTTCAAAAGGCAATTGTAAAATCTGCTGGGCACAATGCTCTCTGTCTTGTGAAAAGGGTTATTAGAAGTATATGCACAAGTACAATTTGATGTACATTCATTAATTTCCTAAACATCCAAGACTCTCTAGCTAGTCAGTTTCAAATATTGGCTTAGAGAATTCATTCTGTGACCTTTTGTATGGAAGTAAATAACATTCTTAGAATCTTTTCCAGGCTTTCACCATGCATGTGATGTCAAATTCATATCTTCGCTATTTTTCTGGTGTAAAAAAAAAATAGACATTGCATAATTCTTTAAAAAAAAGATACTTGGAAGGAATTATTTGGCAAGGAAAAAGTTTGTAGGATTTCTGTATAAATCATACCCTGAATAAAAATCTATTTGTTGACTTTCTTTTTGTTTAAGGTATAATACAATAACTTCTTTAACAGCACAGGGATGAAAAAATGTGTCACCTTGGTGAGTGTGATCCTGCATTTCTTTATTAAAACATATAAATTAAAGATTTGTCCTGACCACATCAAAAGAAAACTAAATCAAGATGTAACTACTCACATTCTCTACTGTTTAGGAAATATTGTGTAAGAGAGGACATGGAGTTCTCTTTTATGAAACAAGACACACAAACAGGATGTGTGTTTCTTTCATTTTCCCTTAAAACATCTTGGCTTAGTTAAGCAGCAATGTCAAAAAAAAAAAAAAAAGATGATGACTATAATCTATTCTAAACAATTCACCTCATTAAAATCAAGGTATTACCAATTTCTAAACAAGCATTGCTTGTTTGCCCAGAATATGTGGTCCCAACCATTAACTGAAGTATTTCGTAAAAAGGCTTTTTGACTCCACTTTAGGCTTTATTTGCAAATGATAGGTATTTTATTAGTTTTTAATATATCTAAACTTGCTGTTATAAGGACAATTTCCTCAACTATCAGCATTGAAATATTATCTGTAATATCATACTAGGTAATACTTTTTGCTTACTGTGTGACAGGCACTATTTTAAATACTGCATATATGCCTTAATTTGTTTATTTCTTAATATGAATTTATAGCACAGCTAAGTGATGTTACCTTTACTTAGAGATGAGGAGATTAAGACTTAACTCACCTGATATGTAAAGCAGAAATTGATAGAGCTGAATCAATAGCTCTGAGAGTCTAGCTGTAGATTCTATGCCCTTAACCTTTAAGTCTACTGCCTTTCAAGGGCATTAGAATGCTTTTCATGAAAATGAGTTCTTTAATTAATATGACTTTGAAAATGTGCATTTCTGTAACATAAAAAATGATGATTTTCATAGCCTTTGAGTTTTTAAAGTAAACGACATATATGGTTTGTTCAAAAAGAAACTTAGTCATTAAACTTTAGAAAATAGAAGAAATCTGCCCATGGATTTTACATATTTACTTGGGTGATTTGATAGTTCATCATGAATAATTCTATAAAGAGTAAATAAGTAAATAAGTCTCAGGAGATCATATTGTTGGAGCACTAGAAGGAAGATTGGAACTAGTGTTCTAGTTGGAGTCTTGTTGTCCTCTGATTATAGAGATGATCATAGCTTATTAACTCATCACCTGTGTAATCTCAGTCTTGTTAATGGTCCCTTTAAGAAGCTGGTATAAGCTATGGGCCTCTTCAAAAGACTGTACATAATCAAATACATGCAAAATATTCTTACAACATATATTTTATGGCACTGTAAACCAATTTCCCTTGAATAAACAGCATCTTAAAAAGCATCAACAAAGAATGAAATTAGAACACTTCCTAACACCATACACAAAGATAAATTCAAACTGGATTACAGACCTAAATGTAACACCAGAAACTATAAAACTCTTAGAGGAAAACATAGGCAGAACACTCAATGACATAAATCAAAGCAAGATCTTCTATGACCCACCTCCTAGAATAATGGAAATAAAAACAAAAGTAAACAAGTGGGATCTAATTAAACTTAAAAACTTTTGCACAGCAAACTGTAAACAAGGTGGAAAGATAACCCTCAGAATGGGAGAAAATGATAGCAAATTAAACAACTGACAAAGGATTAATTTCCAAAATATACAAGCAGTTCATACAACTCAATACCAGAAAAACAAACAACCCAATAAAAAGTGGGGAAAAACCTACACAGACATTTCTCCAAAGAAGACATACAGATGGCTAACAAACACATGAAAAGATGCTCAACATTGCTCATTGTTAGAGAAATGAAGATCAAAACTACAATGAGGCATGCATCACTTCACACCAGTCAGAATGGCCCTCATCAAAAAGTCTACAAACAATAAATCCTGGAGAGGGTGTGGAGAAAAGGGAATACTCTTGCACTGTTGGTGGAAATGTAAACTGATACAGCCACTATGGAAGACGGTGTAGAGATTCCCTAAAAATCTAGGAATAAAACCACCATATGACCCAGCAATCCCACTCCTAGGCACATACCCTGTGGAAACCAAAATTGAAAAAGACATATGTACCCTAGTGCTCACCCCAGCACTATTTACAATAGCTAGGACATGGGAACAACCTAAATGTCCATTGACAGATGAATGTATAAAGAAATTGTGGTATATATACACAAAGGAATATTACTCAGCCATTAAAAAGAATGCATTTGAGTCAGTTCTAATGAAGTAGATAAACCTAGAGCCTATTATACAAAGTGAAGTAAGTCAGAAAGAGAAAGATAAATATCATATATTAATGCATATATATGGAATCTAGAAAGATGGTACCAGTGAATTTATTTGCAAGGCAGCAATGGAGAAACAGACACAGAGAACAGACTTACAGACATGGGGAGAGGGGAGGAAAGGGTGAGATGTATGGACAGAGTAACATGGAAACTTAAATTATCATATGTGAAATAGATAGCCAATGGGAATTTGCTGTATGTCTCAGGGATCTCAAACAGGGGCTCTGTATCAACCTAGAAGGGTGGGATGGGGAGGGAGATTGGAGGGAGGATCAAGAGGGAGGGGGCATATGTATATCTATGGTTGATTCATGTTGATGTTTGACAGAAAACAACAAAATTCTGTAAAGCAATTATCTTTCAACTAAACATAAATTTTTAGAAAATTTTTAAAAATTATCAATTGAAATGTTTGCTTTTTTATTTAAAAATTAATGACTAATTTTAAAAAAGTATATATTGTATAAGTAATCTTTAATTCTTTTCACAACCAAATTTCAAAGAAAGAGTGATAATAATAAGTATTGTTGCTCAGTCACTAAGTCCTGTTATGGACTGCAGCACGC